CAGATCGACCCTGCATACGAACTGCAGCGTGCCCCTCTGTTGCAGTATGCCACCGCGGTGTGGGAGCATTGGCACCCACGAGCGATGCTGGAGCAAGGATTGCGAGACGCCGTTGAGAGGTTCACCGATCACGGCAATCCTTGGGCCAGCATCCGTGGCCCTTTTTTTCTGCGTGTGCTGCTACAGCTTTGCGGCTTCGCATCAGCATGCAAGGTTTTGTGTGGTCACATCCTCGACACGGTGGGGTATCTATTTTGCAGTCAGGGCCTCGCACTGTCCGCAAATGGCTCTGTCATGTCGTGCTGCAGTGGCTCTGGGAAAAAGTGGCCTCGAGAGAAGGTATTCCTGAGCTCTCTCTTGGGTGCAATTTTCAGCCTCTGCAGTCCCTATTAGCCTCTAACGGCCTCAGACACGATGAGAAGGCCTACCTGAGAAGCGTTGTCGCCGGGGGGCAGTGGCCTCAGCATCGTCAGTGGCTTTCGCAGTACACCGCCGACCCCCTCTGCCGCTTGCGTCAGCAGGCCCCTGGCACGCTTTTGCATCGTCACGCGAGCTGTGCGGGCCACGATGACATAGCGGCACAGGAGGTCCCACCTGATTTCCTGGCCTCGGTTGTCAGGACCAGCGTCGACCCTCTCCCTCTCCTCTTCGCCGAGAGGCTCCTCGTCCCCGAGGCTCCCCTTCCTCCTGCCAACCCCCTCCCCGATCGGTGGTTCGGCGGAGGACCTACCGAGATGGCAGGGCGCATCTTTCTTGACGCCAGCTGGATGGACCAGCATCTGCCGCCCGCGTCTCAGGCTGTAGGCTGGGCCATTGTCAGTGTGCAGCCGCAACATCCGTACAAGGTAAATTCGGTGATGTGCGGCACCCTCCAGATCGTTTGTCAAGACATTGACTGTGCTGAGCTGTTTGCTTTCAACCGTGCTCTGCAGCACTGTGCACCAGGCAGTATTTTTTATACCGACTCAGGTTTCGTCCACGATGGAGTTTACCAGCGTGGCAAGGCGTATTGTTGCTCGGTGCGTGCAGCCTGGTCTGAGTTATGTGTCCAGGTCTGGCGCCGCATTGACGACTGGGGCGGCATCGAGTGTATCGACCTACGCAAAGTCAAAGGTCACTGCACCGAGGCGCGCATCCAGTCTGTGCTTTCCACGCGTTTTGAAAAAGAGGGCAACGCGCACGCCGATAAATGGGCTCAGTGGATGGCCTCGAGAGCCCGTATTGATCCTGAGCTCCGCAAGGTTCGTAGTGCCAAGGCCCTCGTGCTCTCTCAATGGGCGTCTTGGGTTGCGCGCATCGGGCCTCGTATGTGTGACGTTGATTGCGAGCATGTCCCTCGTCGGCTGCGCAGGGCTCGTGGCTTTGGTGCTGTGGGCCGCCCTGTGCCGAGCATAGTGGTGGAGCCCCCGCCGCCAGTCACGCCGCGCAGCCTGTCGAGAGCAGGCCTTGCCTCTGCGCGGGTGCAGCTTGCGGATGAGAGACCGCATGTCATGCACCCAATTTGCCGTCATAGGGGACGGGGGGCGGAGGCTGTGGTGTACTGTGTGTGTGGTGTGCGGGCTGGGAGGGGTCAAGATCTCTGCGAACCTGTCGCAGGGCTGTCGAGGCCCCCCTGCATCAGGCACGTGGGGTGCTCGTGTCCTCGCGGGCCTCACGCGTGCTCCTGCACGCTTCCAGGTCAATCGCGTGTGGCGGTACCTAGAGGATCCGCTGCGCACTGTTTCCTTGATCCGTGCGGGAGTGGTGCAGCCGCTCTAGAGCCGCGCTGCGCCATGCCCCGCACGGCTTTCATATCTGCCAGCCTGCTGTGTGCTGGCCATGCCTTACCTTTCTGGGCACTGTTCGGGTGGCGCCACCCGCCTCTGGCTGTGGCCATGCGGTGGCGTAAGTTGCATGTGGCGCGGACAACCTTGTTCGCGTCCAGGCTGAGTCGAGGAGGAGCTGGAGGAGCTGGAGGAGGAGCAGGAGGACGAGGAGCAGGAGGAGGAGGAGGAAGAGGAGGAGGAGGAGGAGGAGGAGGAGGAGGAGGGCGAGGAGGAGGATGAGGAGAGGGAGGAGAGGAGGAGAGCAGGAGCAGAAGAGGAGGAGGAGGAGGAGGAGGAGGAGGAGGAGAGAGGAGGAGGAGGAGGAGGAGGAGAAGGAGCAGGGGAGGAGGAGGAGAAGCCAGAGGAGGAGCAGGAGGAGCAGGAGGAGGAGGAGGAGGGGGAAACGGAGGAGGAGGAGCAGAAGGAGGAGGAGGAGGAGGAGGAGGAGAGGCGAGGAGGACGAGGAGGACGAGGAGGAGGAGGAGGAGGAGGGAGGGGAGGAGGAGGAGGAGGAGGAGGGGAGGAGGAGGAGAGGAGGAGGATGAGGAGGAGGAGGAGGAGGAGGGACGCCTCGTGCGCCGTGTGTGCGTCTCTGTGAGTGTGTGGGTGCCGAGGTTCTTATGTTGTTTGCCGCGTGCCCGCCCGTGGGGGCGCCTCTTTTTTGGGGGGGTTGTGGCGTGCGCGGGCGCCGCCCGGCCTCGGCTCGTGGGCGCCTCCTGCGGCGGCCTCGCGCGATGGTCTCGGCTTCCTACGGGAGGTTTCCAATTGGGGTTTTCGGGGAGGGTGTTTTCCAGGAGGGGTCCCCCAGGGGTTTCGCACCCCCTGTTTTGACGAGGTTCCAAAGCCCCTGGGGGGCTCTTTGGAAAACCTCCTCCCCAAAAAACAATGTTGGAACCCTCCGGTCCTACGCAGGTGGGATCGGAGCATATATCAATCGGGCATGTCCTTCCGCAGGAGGACAATCCAAAAATAGTAATACATACAAATATAAATGTATGGTATGGGGACGATTTGTTGCGCACTCTTTGACTATATGGGGGTATTGTTTGGGTCTGTTTCATTTTGTTGCCCAAAATCCCCCTGCAGGGGGACAGGCCCGACCTAATCCAAGATGGGGTCGGAGTGGATGGGGTCGGAGGATCGCGCCGCATCACCGGTGCATCGCCGATGCGGCGCGACGCGGAGCCTGGGAGCCTGGTTTACCCCACGCCAACGTCGCCGATACGCAGCCGACGTCGCCGATGAATCGCCGATATATCGGCGATGCATTGCCGATGCGTCGCGATCCGTCGACACCATCTACTCGGACCACATCTAGGCCTTTCAATGGGTGGGTGGGGGGGGTCGAGCTCCACTCTGTCGCCCGCCCGTGGGCGGCTCTCGTGGGCGCCTCGCGCGTTCTTGGGAGCCCGCTGCTGGCACTCGCCAGCCTCTCCTCGACATGATGTCCCGCGCCTTCCTTCTCCTCCTCCTCCTCCTCATCCTCCTCTCCTCCTCCTCCTCCTCCTCCTCCTCCTCCTCCTCCTCCTCCTCCTCCTCCTGCTCCTCATCCACTCGCCTCTTCCGCAGACGCCGGTGAGGCTTACATTTACAGCGAGTGGGAGGCAAGATGAGGGTGGTGGTGAGAAGCACCTCCTCCTCATCCTCCTCCTCCTCCTCCTCCACAGGGGCCGGAACCCTTCGGCTTCAACCGCTCGTTTCGGCTTCGGCGCGTTTCGTCCAAGCCCGGCTCGTCCTGGCCTGTTTGGGCTTCGGAGCGCCTCGCCCTGGCCCGTTTTGGTTCCGGCCCGTTTCGCCCCGGCCCGTTTCGGTAGCGATCTTTTCCGCCCCTGCCCGTTTCGGCTCCCTTCGTCTCGGCTTCGGCCCGTTGCGGCTTTCGGGTTCGCGGTCACGTCTGGGCCGGGAAGCCGGGAGGTGCCGCAGCCGAAACGGGCCGAAGCCGAACCGGGCCGAAACCGAAACGGGCGGAAACGAAACGGGCCGAAGCCGAAACGCGCCGGAGCCAAACCGGGCGGAGCCGAAACGCGCCGAGCCGAAACGCGCCGAAGCCGACACGGGCTGAGGCCGAAGCGGGCCATTGTCCTCGAGGGCCTCCTGGCGCCATGCTGGGGTCCTGGGGCCATCTTGTGAATTCGGAGGTCGATAGACCTCCCCCTCTGACACGTCGATTCGCGAATTGGCCGTTGTCCGTTCGCGAGAGGGCGGCGCGGCCGTCATTTTGGCGGGTCCAGGTCCGTCGGGTTCGGCCCTAGGCCGTTTTTTCACTAAAGGCTGGTTTACGGAAGGGGGGATTGTCCACCGCCGATTATTTTTGGGAGCCTCTGCGGGCCACGCTGGGGGTATTGGGGCCATCTTGTGTGGGAGGGGGGCGGCGGGTTCCCTGCGGAGTCCCCCTCTAGGGCGCGCCAAGGGTGTTGGATTTCGAGGCTCCAAGTCCGCCGGGGGGGGGAGGGTCTTGTGCCCCCCCCCCTCCCCGCCCCCCGCCCCGTCGGCTCGTGGGCCGGGAGGGTCCGCCACCCCTCCTGGCTCGAACCAGCGCGGAAGGGGGGGTGGGGGCTTCTGTGCTGCCCCCCACCCCCCCCCCCCCCCCCCCCCTCCCCCGGTTTTCGGGCAGGGGGTGCGCCCTCCCCCCCTCCCCCCCCTCGCCCTCCGTTCCCGCGGAGGGGGGGAGGAGGGGGGAGGGAGGATTTTATCGCAGGCCTACAGGTTGACACCAACACCAATTTCGGCGGTGTGCCTCCACCGAGGGAAGAAGATCCCGATCTCGGTAATGGTGGTCATTTTCTGGCTTCCAAGGTGGACGAAATATTACCACTGACACCGAAATCTAGAATCATTTCCCCCCTGTGGAGGCAAACCTCTGTGTTGGTGTTGGTGCCAATTTCCAGGCCTCCAATTCCCCCCCCCCCCCGGCAGTTTCCCGGAGGCGGGGGGGGGGACCCAGACCTGCTCGCGTCGGAAAAGAAGCAGGACGGGAGGCTTCTCGCTCTGCTTTCGGCCCCCCAGGGGGCCCTCGCCTCGCCGGGCGGGGCCGTCAAAAAAACGACTCGGGACGAAAAGCCGGTCTTGGGGGATGGGTCGGGCCTTCCGGGGACGCCGTCCTGAAAAGATCTGGACGTCGCATGTCTGGCGAGGGGAATTGGTTCCAGCCAAGCGACGGTAGATCGCGCGTTCCCTCAACCATTCGCCAATCGATGCTGCTCCGAGTGAGTTGCCATTGTCCGTATCCTCTTGCGGTCACGTTGACACATTATCTGATTCCGCAAGACATTCTTGATTGGTCGAATGATCTCGTACATTCATAGTTATCCCGCCTTCTGTTTCTGAATCGAATACGCATCTCTAAGGGGTCGGTCTGATTTGCATACATATCCGCCGTCCAGGTTCCGAGGCTCATTTGTCTAATCCTTCCTGGTTGGGCACACATGAACTCGAGTTCAGGGCAAGCGTCGGTGTAACCTTTCAGTCCATGGCGGTAGCCCGGCATGCATGCGCAACGAAATTATGCGTGCAGTCTGGAAGCAATGATGACACTCAGGCACCCGCCACGCGGGCAGCATATGAGATTCGCTGCGCTCGCGCCATCCGCGCTTGGAAGGAGAGTGGCTATCAAGGGGAGGCACTTAACGACAGTGAAGCACGTGATGACGTTGAGCTTACGGAGCTTTCTCCGGAGGAGACTGGCTTTGCCACATGGGTACGAAGCACTGGCAACCCAGCTGCTTATCTAGACCCTGACGGGACCCCACGAGGCACAGCGACATTGGCAGTGCCCATGTCTGGGACCCCAGATAACTTTGTAGCCTTGTATTTGCATGGTGGTGGTTATCGCAAGTACAAGCCGACCGACGGCTACGTTGCGGCTGTGTCGACTTGGCTCGCAGCGGTTTGTGTCGCTCCCGTACTTACCATTGATTACCGTCTCGCTCCGGAGTTCGACGCGGCGTCGCATGCAGCAATTGATGATGTGCACCATGCTTTGCACTGGTTGCGGCTGAGGTATCCCGCCGCCAAGATCTTTGTAATCGGCGACTCTGCGGGCGCAGGTCTTGCCCTATCTTCAACCTACGCCTTGCTGACCGGCGGCATCGTGGGAGCAGCACAAGCGAGGGTTCATCCACCAGACTTGCCTGCTGGCCTCTGCTTACTGTCGCCATACATCGATCTTACGATGAACTCGCCAGGCTTTGAGAATGCGATGTTTAATCCTGAAACTGGTTCGGGTGACATTTTCTACACCAATCATGATGGCTCTTCCAATGCAGACACCGATCGAGATTGGCTTCGCAATCGAGCAATGGATTATATTGGTCACCTCAGTCCTGACGATCCCTTGTGTTCGCCTACCTTCATTCCGGACGCTGCACTCGCTAGATTCCCGCCCATATTGGCACTGGTTGGCGGCGCAGAGGTGTTTCTGCAGGAGACCTGGCAATTCATTGACCGAGCCGTCACAGCTGGCGCAAGGGCCAAGTTAATGGTCTTTGACCGCATGTGGCATGATTGGTTCAACTTCTGCAATCTCCCAAGCAAGATCGGGACATCTGGAGGCTCGACGTCACAGCACTTGAGCGCAGCGGTTGAGGCATATGAAGCCTTGTCCGCTTGGGTACGTAGCTTGAGCTTTGGGGGCACATATTGTTCCGAACCGAAGGAAACTCGATAGTCGAGTATACGTGCGTGTTCAAATGGTTGGATTCTGCCACTTCGAAGTGGAATGTGTGTTTGCTGCCAATGCCAATGTTGCCGTCGCAATCAGTCGTAGCCATGTCATTGTTGTTTCCGCTTGTTGTTGAACTATTGAGTTATGGATGTAATTATTTTTTGGGACCCCCGCCCAGACCCCCTGCGCGTTCCCACGCAAGCTATTTATTTGATGAGCAAAGTCAAACCCACTCGCAAAACAGGTGACTGTGAATTTGCTCTTCGGTGTGAAACTGTTCGCCAAAGCGGCTGAAACTCGAGAGGTCATCGCAGTCCTAGTGCCTTGGCCTAATTACCACGTGCTTCTAACGCTTTGAGCGTCTCTACGGAAATGCACCTCGTCCAGAAAAAACACAGTTCGTGATTCAAGGGCTGACCACCTTCGGTCCAAAAGTTTTTGCGCGTGCCTAAGATCCTGCACCCCACACCGTGTGAGGAGGCATCAATACATTGCGTATGAGTCACACAAGTCCTTGATGCCTCCTCCTCATCAGCAGCAGCATCATCATCATCATCGTAGCATCATTTGCTTCCCCTCATTGCCCCTTCCCTCTCAACCGTATCCCACAACCGATCCTCCGCTTCCTCCTCTCCCGCCGCACATTTCAAGGAATACTGGAGGCATCCCAGCCCCACCGTGGAGTCTCGTTGGGCAATGATGGGGTTAGTTGGGGGTGTATGTGTGTGTTGTCTTGGGGCCATGTGCAGGCCCCTAGGCAGCGAAACATGTTGCAACACAACGGATTCGACAGCAAACATTCCTGCATTTGCTTTGCTCCACGTGGCAGTAATGAGAGGCCCTCTTGGCCATAGCATTCCCCCATCCCCCAGAGGATCTGACGTAAAACGGCTGGAGGTAGTGGTGCATATCTTGTCCCCCCCCCCCCTCCCCCCAGCCCCCAGTACGTAGCAGCACGTCATGCAACACATGTGTTTCGCGTTACAGGGAAAACAATATGGCAAGTATCCGTGAATACATACGTGCTGACTTACACGCCCTTCCCGGCATGGGAACACGCATGCATCCAAATCATTATTCACGTGTGTGGTTTGGTCGTGCTATCTTGGTGTTCGCAGCCTGGTGGCCCCGCAGAGGGGCTTGCGGATCTTTGACGTGGATTGTAAATCCAGGTGATTGCTGGACAGTGTGTCCACCAGTGTAAACGTTTCGAGCCGCTTGCACAGATACGTGACGCTCACCAGCTAGTTTTCATCAGGGCTGGACCTAAACGCTGTTATGCTGGACTTCGGCTGTGTTTTGTTGTTCGTTTTGGCAGGGAGGTACAGGACAACAGGTAAAGCAAAACGAAAAAACATAACGAAAACAAAACGAAAAACAATGTTTAGGTCCAGCCCTGGCCTCCTACTCCTCCTCCTCCTCCTCCTCCTCCTCCTCCTCCTCCTCCTCCTCCTCCTCCTCCTCCTCCTCCTCGCTACCACCCCGACGCAAAGGCAATCCACTCGAGAGCATCGCCGACGCGGTGAATGGCGTCTGGTACGGGACCCACGACTCTCTGGCTGCAGCCGGCGACGCGATCGCGGGCAGCATCGCGACCGCGGCCAACGGAGGCGTGCTTTCTCGTTTAGGGTGAAGTCGGGCATGTCCCTCTACAGGAGGAATCTTCAAACATAGTCCAACAAGAAATAGAATAGTCTGGGGACGATTTGTCGACCATTGTTTGATTATTCTCGAGTATGTTTTCAATATGATATACTTTTCGTCCACAGTCCGCCTGTAGGAGGACATGCCCGACCTAAGTTTAGGGATGCCGGGCGGTCGTGGGTGCGGCCCCCCCACCCCCCTGCGGCAGCGCAGCGTCGTGGTGCATGCGAGCAAGAGACCGGTCGACGTCCGTCCCGGTTTCGTTTTGGACATCCGACGGGTCGAATGACTTTCGGGGGCGGCCAACAGGGGGGTGGTGACTAGGGGGGGGACATCATGGCGGGGGCCATGAGATCTCCCCAGATCTCATGGCGCCTCTTCTTACTTCGTTACGCCCCTGCCCCCCCCCTGGTCCGCGCACTTGCCTCGGGCCATGATTTGCACACACAGACACACATCCTTGGGCGCCCTCCTCTTGGCCGCCCCCGAAGTTTGTGGCCCAACTCGAGGATGTACGATGGGGGAGCGTCCGTTCTCGCTGGTGGTGCGTCCGAATGGCCCCGTGGTGTCCCCGAGTTCTTCGCTTCGAAGCGCCGAGTTCTTCGGGAGGGAGCTCGGAAACGGAAGGCGAGACGTCGCTTGCGACATGCAGGATCCCAGACCTCGCGTCGTCGAACAAACACCACGGAAGGTGTTATACACGGTCGACCCCGAGAGCCCCCCGGCCAGGTCCCCAGGTTCGAGGCCCGAGTACGTTTTGATCAAGCAGTGGCGAATCGTCTTGGCTTGCCTACAGGCCCACCAAAGAATGTTCTAAGAACCTCTTGCGGTCTGCACGAAATATTCTTAGAACATTTCTGGCTGGGGCTGTCTTGTTTTAACGCATCGGTTTGTGTTCCAAGAACATTACTTCAGTTCATAGAGCATTTCTGGGTTCTAAGAGCATGCCGTGGTAGGCCTATAGGAATGCCGGGACGGTCGGTCCCTGCTCAATTTTAGAAGTTGTGGGGCGTTGCTGAAGGTTCTCGTCGCCATTGCTGCGCCCCCTTCGAACTTCTTCTCAGAACGCACCCCTGGACAGGGTCCAGGTAGGAAGCCGAACTCTATACACCGACGCTTTTTCCGGCCTCGCTCTGAAGTTTGTACAGGGAAAGCGGATCTTGGTGTATGCGGGATCCTGGTGTATACGCATTTTTCGCTGTTTCCCCAAACTTGCGCCCCCTAGGGCTCGTTTCGATTCCCCTGGTGCAGTTCGACTCGATTTCGGTAGCTTCCGGTTCCGAGACGATTCGACTTGGGATTCTGGTTTGGGCTCCGTCCTCTCAGATGGAGGCCCAGTAGCCTTCTGATTTCCGCCTATTCGACGTCTCCCGACTCGGCGGCCCTTGGGTCTCTCAGCGGCCCTTGGGTGTTTCTCGGCAGCCCTTGGGTTAAGTCGGGCGTGTCCTTCCACGGGAGGAATATCCAAAAATTGCCCAAACAAAAAATAATACGGGGACGATTTGTCTATTATTTTTTCATTATGTGGGGGCATGTGTTGAGTATTTCTAATTTTGGGTTGAAAATCCGCCTGTAGGAGAACATGCCCGACCTAACCCTTCAGTTTTTTGTCGGCGGCCCTCGGGATTTGTCGGTGGTGGTCTGCGTCTGGGGTCCCAGCCCCCCGCCGGGCCCACGGGGCCGCGAGGAAACGGTTCGGGATGGAGAGAACAGGTCCGGGCGAGTGGGTCGAGATCGCCGGGGGTCCACGTGGCAAGATCAAGACGGCAGGAGTTGGAGAGATGGCTCTGCCGAGCTCTGCCGACGGGGCTCGGCATGATCGTGCTTCCGCGGGGCCCCACGGGACCCCAAGATGTTGCAACGCGAGGCGGCGCCCGCTGCAGGTTTGTTGGGCTGCATCTTGTGGAATGCCTCTCCGAGGCTTTTCGGGGGCTCCCTTGGGGCCTTCTTGAGGGCCTCCTGGAGCTCCCTCGGGGGCCCCATCGGGTGCCTCTGGTGGCCTCTGGTGGCCTCCGTGCGGTTGGGGGCCGTCTGAGCGCGATGGCTCTCGCCCCCCAGAAGCTCGGTGGATCCGAGGCGGGGGTTTATCCACAACCACCGCCTGGGGATTCGATCTCTGCGGACCTCCACAGGCGGTGGATACGGATATATATATATATATATATATATATATATATATATATATATATATATTCGGGCCCCCGGGGGCCAAAATGTATCCAGATCCACTGCACGCTGGGGCACCAGGACGTCGGCTCCCCGGTGGTGGATATGGATAAATCCCCGCCTCGCAATAGACCATCCCTAGGCCATCTGTGCAGATCCTCGGGCCGTCCTGGAGCACTCTTGCCGTGGTCGTGCGCCGCCATGGGCAGCACCTGAACTCGACCAGGCTGAACTCGGCCATGCTGCCGTGCCGAGTTCAGGCAGGCCGAGTCCAGCCAGTCGTGGTCAGCACGGGCGAGTTTCGCCTGGCCGAGTCTTTCCCTCGTCCTGCCTCCCCAGACCCCCGCGGGTCATGAAAACATTACGACAGGGAGCTTCTTTGCTATTTTCGGCCTCTGAGAGCCCTCACCGGCTTTTCGTCCTGAGTCGTTCTTTGACGCTCCCGAGGCCCGCTGAGGACCCCCAGAGGGCGAAAGTAGCAGAAAACACTCGTCGCGACCTTCTCCCAACTCGAGGGTGTCTGGGCCCCCCCGGAAGCCCCGGCTGGCCTCAACGCCCCCCCCCCCCCCGAGTATTGCAGGCAATGTTTCTCCCCCAACCTCCGACTTTTCGACGAGAAGTCAAATCGCTCATCAAAGGGGGGGGATCCCGACCCCCCCAGGGGGGCTATTCGGACGCACCCCTATCGAGGACGGACGCCCCCCTCGTGCGCATGGCCCAGCCCACCCGCCGAGGTCAAACCCTCTCGACAGCTTGCGGGCTTCTCAAATCGTCCTCCTCCTCCTCGCTCCTCCTCCTCCACGCCCGCTCGTCTCACCTTGCTCTTCATTGCTTTGACGATCCGGCGCGGCCCCGCGTCGGAGGCAGGGCAGACGAGGGTGAAGCGGGGGGGGGGGCGCAGAGGAGCCGGGAGGGGGGGGGGGGGGCGCGGGGACGAGGGGAGGGGCGTAAGGAGAGAGGGCGGGGGAGGAGGAGCATGAGGAGGAGGTGGACTGGGGGCCGGGGACGAGAGAGGCGGGAGGGGAGGTGGGATGGAAAGGAGGGGAGGAGGGAAGGGAGGGGGGGAAGGAGGGGAAGGGAAGGGAGGGAAGGGAAGGTAAGAAGGAGAAATGGGAGGAAGGTAAGGGCAAAAGGGGAGGGGAGGGAGGAAAGGAGGATGGGAAGGGGGGGGAAGGGAAGGGAGCCCGACGGGGGGGAGGAGGCGCCAGCTCGGACCGCGCTGGGGAGCAGTGCCGCGCAGGCCACGCGAAGAAGGAGAAGTGCGCCCACGGGCACCTCTCGGAGCGCCGCTCTGCCAGAGGAGGAGGGGAGCGAGGGGAGGAGAGGAGTGAGAGGATAGCCTGTCGGGCGCCGCGTCAGCTTGTCGGAGAGCTCCCAGAAGTGTGTGGGGGGGGGGCCCTCGGGAGTTCCTGAAGGAGGAGGA